AGGCTACGACAAGCTCGCTAAATAACAGACGCTCCAATAAATCACGATTCCTCCCAGACTTTGCCTCAGCTTAGTCAGGGTCACGCTGGCAGACAAGGCTATCTTAGGCGCATAGAGCAGCCTGCCTATATTGTTAAGTTCATCACCCATCCAACCGAGTGTTAACTGAACAAAGCCGACCTATTCCTGGTGTCTCCATTAGACATTTTGAAGAAGAAGAAGTGGGTGACCTGAGGGGCATCACACATGTGGGTGAATAAGTTCAAGGCATTCAATGAAGATTTGGAAAGAATCGCAGGACATAAAGCGGAGTTCAGGAGGAAGCACATGTGGACAGAAATGAAAAAAAAACGTAAACCAAATCCATGTAGCACCAGAAGTCGCATTAACGATGAGTACTATAACAACACTATTTAAAAGAACAAAATCCAGAGGCTTATTATAATCACATTTAACTGAATTCAATCTTAAAGTATATTAGATGGCGCTCACAGAAATATCTTTCCAAATATTTGCTTTCTTGGCTCTCTGAGTCAAAAAGGTTCCCGACGCCTTGTGCGAGACCCACTCGCTGAAGGCGTAATTCGGGTTACACTCCCATAGCGATGCGTTGGTGACATGCTTAGGTGGAGGCCTACACCGTCCCAGCCATCCGTGGTCTTCGTATTACTTCCATTCTGTGCGATCAAATTTGCGCCTGCAACCTGCGCCCGATCCCGCCTTCGGTCTTCATGACTCCTTCTTAGCATCGGGTATAACTGGGTGAGGTAAGAGAGAATGTGGTAGCTGCAGTGCAAGTCTACTATCACTTAAAACCCACCCACGCGCAAAACATTGTCCCTGAAGTACTCTCCTGTTGAGAAAACGGTGGACATCGTCGGCTCCGACGGTCGCTTATGTAAATACACCTCAAATCGATATTTCGAGGTTAAAACCGTATGTGCTAAAAACATATTGTCTGTTTATGTAAGTACACTTCAACATCCTTTGGATTCATTTGGCATTAATGGTTCAGCTAGTGTAGTCCGGTAAGATAACAGCAAACGGCCGGCATCCAGTTAAAAAGCCCAAAATATAATGAACTAAATTACAATTTTTACATGTTCCACATTGGAAGAAGAAGAAGAAACGATCACTGGAACAAGAGGTTTATTTTCCTGACGT